GGCATGTCTTTAATCTCAGCACTGGGGAGGCAGAGGCAGGTGGATCTCTGTAAGTCCAAGGCCAGCCTGGGCTACATAGAGAGTTCGGGACCGCTAGGGCTATACAGTGAGACCTGGTCTCAAAAACAAAAGCAAAAGACAGACATACAGAAAGCTGGGGCCGGGTGGACTGCGCTCTCAGATGGAGAAGCCTCAGCACCTGAGAAGCTCAGCATGTTTATTAGATAGAGTCAAACGGGCAATGGTGTTCTTGCATACAGATAGACAAGGAGGCAAGGTGTATGGTATACAGCTGGATTAAGAGGACCTCTCTAGGGAGGCAGGCTGTGAATATCTGGGGATGTGAGGGTTGGGGGAGAAAAGCATGGTAGATATTGTCTGCATATACTGTCAACATTCACAATCAGTCCCCCAGGAAGGGTTTGCCTGCCTTCTGAGCTGAGGCTGTGGGGTCCTTGACACGCCATGCCTATGTCAACACTTTCACTCAGGGCTTTCTCTGCTCCCTGCAGTCATGGTCTTCTGAGCCTGGACAGTCTCAGAGTGTGTCATATCTTCACAAAGAATGTTCTTTGTCTCTGATAATGTGGAGTCTCACCCAGGGAGTGTGTTAGGGCCCACTTCAGGGGGAAAGGGCAATAGAAGGCAAGAGAAATTATCCTGTCCCCATCGTTCCTTAATGGTCTAGTGCTGCTTGTGGGGTGGCCTGTCCTGAACCCATCACCTTCTGTGTGCCAGTGACCACAGCCTTTCCCCCGCCGCACACCGAGCAGTAAGATGAGGACTCAGTGTAGCTTCTGCTTCTTGGGGTTGTGAGGATGTATCAGCCAAACATGGTGCCTACTCAATAAATGTTGGCTCTTGCAATCTTTATTGCAGTTTATGGTGTCAGGACACTGTTTTAAAAATTTCTTGTTATGATAAATATATGAGTTCATAAAAATTTCAGTTGACAAGTGAGCACCATCATAAAGTCAAAAGAAAAAGTGACAACTTTTTACAAACAATTACAAGGACATACTTGTAATTCATAACAAAGGGTTCATCCCTGGTATGTGAAGATAACAGTTCAATGAAAAAAGGATGACTGTAAAGCTCTTTTCTTGTAACATGCTTGTGCTACGGAGTTCATGTCTAATGCATAATCACAACCCATCAGGAGCCTGGAGAAGGGCCTGAGAAGCTATAGCTGGAGATAGAACTATGGTTACAGACAGCCATGCAGACTGTGTCTGTGAATGTGTATGTGCAGTGTGGGGTGCCTGAGGGAGCAGCTCCCTCTCAGAAATGCTCTGGTCCCCTACTGTGCCTGCTCACTCTGGTTTCCCCAGAGCATCTCTCTGTCCCTCCCCCTGCTGCTTCCCATCTGCTCCATCCTTCCCATGGCTGCTGTTTCTGCTGAGATGACCTTCTGTACCAAGGCTAATCTCCCTGAGATGCACTTTCTCCAGCCTGCTTAGAGACCTCCAGTGACTTCCTCTGGGTAGCAGGAGGTCTAACTTGTGAACCTCGGGGGTCTCTGTAATCTGTTCTTCCCTCCGAAGTCTTCCTCACTGTTAATTTTCAGGACCCCTCCCGACATCTAAACTGCCTGGCCCTGCTCACCATGCTCATTTCTGCCTCTGAGCCCTGTCCCCAGTCTTGTCCATGGCCCAAGGTCCAGCTCAGTTCTGGTCTCCGCCAGGTGGCTTTGCTTGCACTCAGACCTCATTGCCCAGTGTTTCCTCGTGTCCCACTGCATTTTTGAGGCCAGAATTATCTGACAGGATCATCTTAAAGTCAGAAAGGTTTTTGCTGGCTGCTGTTTCAAAGACTGACAGTCACCATGTTGGTGCAGCATGGTGGTATTCATGGCTGTTGGAATGTGAGATGGAGCTTCTTCACATCACAGACCAGAAAGCAGAGTGAGCAGAACTAGCCGCTAGGCTGCAGCCTTTAAAGGCCCACCCTGCTCACATACTTCTGCTAGCCAGTCCTTGGCTCCTAATGGCGGCAGCCTTCCAGAATGGTGCCACCAGCTGGGAAGCACTGTTCAAAAACATGATGTGTGTGTATGTGTGTGTTAGATTCAGAGGTAACAGTGCCTGTACTCTGATCATACACTTAGCATTTGCTGAAGAGGCTTTTGTTTGTTTGTTTTGTTTTTATATTGTTGAGACAGGCTAGCCTCAAATCCTCCAGCCTCAGACTCCCGAATGCTGGGATTACAGGCGTCCCCCTCCATCCCAGCTCCAGGTAGACATTTTCATTGAAGTAGAGAATGCATATCTACATGCACATGGAAACATGTTCAGATCTGGAGGAAAACACTTCTGATCTGCTTCCTGACTCCTGAGACTTGGGAGACAGAGCCATGCCATGTGTGCATGCATAAGAATGTCCATCATCAGTGCTGAATGATACCCCACATCAGGAACTGAGCCAAGAGCAGAATCCAGTTCCGGTAGATAAGAAACAGCAAAAGCTGACAATCTGTAAGTTTCCGTTACTGACTAGGTTCTTTCTTGACAGCCAATTAGAATTGAGATATGTTTCCCACTCCCAGCTTAATTAGAGGTAATACAATTTTTGGTAAGTCCTCTTCAGGGATTTCTTGATGGTAACTTATAAATTAATTCCAGCCTACACACGGACCGGTCATCTTTTTCTCCCTCTGTGGACTTGTAGACACAGGGAGAGCTCTATAGCATGACTTTTTGTTGTCATTTTGCCCATCAAATATTCATTGGCCTCCTATAGACTACTAGATACTGTTACAGAATATAGTGCGATTTAGTTTCTCCTTCCACAAGGTTTATATTCTGATGAGTCACTAGAAATAATTGATAGCGCTAACAGCAAGGCTTCACACTAAAAATATAACAATGACTAAAGAGTAAATTAACTGAGAGATTGCTGCAAAATCATCTGTTCCAAAGTCTTTACCAGCATTCAGAGAGAACGGGAACACGGAGGTAGGAAAGGCTGTAAAGAAGGTTAGCCTGAGCTAGAGACTTATGTGTGCAAAATCCATCTGAAGGGATGTTATCAAAAAGCAAGAGAGAAGGCAGGAACTTCGGAAAATAAATGCAAGATGTAGAGAGTAGAGAGATTTGAGAAGCATCACAAGAAACTCCTGATTCTCAGCACCAGTTTACAATTTAGAAGGCGTTTTTGCTTGTCTGTCTTGCTGGCTCTCTGCCCGTTGTGATCTTTTATCCCATATGGGTTGGGGCAGTGAGTGGTGTTAATGCTCCATTGTCTTCACAGCCTGCACTGGCCTTAGAGAGTGTATGAATGTATGTTCCTTCTCCTCCTAATAGTCTTAAATACTTCATTGAAACCACGTCTAGCTAACTTCAGTATCACCACGTTCGCTGTTGGCTTTCATCAACCTGAATGTAGTGAGGAGTCTCCTGGGCAGATCATGTCCCTGGGGGTTCTGCAGGAGGAAGAGCGCAGTCGGAGGCGGGTCAGTTCCAGCTCCATGCAGTGATGCCTCCTTGACTTGGGACTGTGGACACAGGGATGGGGTGGAGGACTGAAAGGCCACCCGTCCTTTGTTTTGTCCCTTCCTTTGCCGGTTGATTATTCGATCTTCTCTGTGCCCAGAGGGCTTCAGTTTGTAAAGCTGTAAAGCTGTCAGTCTTGTTTATGTGGTTTTCACTTCAAATTAATGTTCAGCAAAGGGATTAGCAGATAACTATTTCAGCCTGAACTTCTTTACAAGAAAGTGGATATGGTTTGTACAGGCTGCCTGAGCCAGGAAGCAGAGTTAACTGGAGTCAGCCCTTTCAGAAAGACAAGACAGTGCAGCTCACAGCCTCCACGTAGATCTGTGGGGTCCAATTGATGTCGTGTTGAAGAATCAATATGTACTGGACTTTGTAAAGTTAGCTTTTAATGAACCTCAGGCATTTTCTAGGCCACTAATTGTAGGAAGAAGAAGGTGCCAGTGTCTGGGTTCGTGGGTGTGGGGGCTGGTTTAGAAGGAAGTGAGGAGACAGTAGCCTGTGAGCGGAGCACCGTTCCACCCTCAGCTTCTGTTCAGCATTGTTGGGTACTTGTGTTGAAAGGCTGCTAGCAGCTGGAGCACAGGCAGAGACCTTGGATACAAACCCCAGGACCCAAAACAGAGAAAGAAAGGGAGGATTTCTTGGGTTCTTTCTGACTGTAAGCAGAGCAATTCTTGCTCCTAGCAGGTTAGACACTCCTCCCACCCCAGTACTTCGCAGGCCTGACCTTGCTTAGCTTCTGAGATTAGACTGGGTGTGTTCAGGGTGGTATGGGCACAGGCTGCTCTTTGGCAGCCCTTCCTCAGTTCCCTGGGATGAATTCCAATGGCATTTCAGGTTCTGCCTTCTGAATGCATCTTCACAAGGTCAGGTCCTTCCCTCCCACTGATGCTCTTGAAAGCACTCAGAATGGAAGAGTGCAGTATGGAACGTTTCCTGGAGGATGCTAGCCTAGATCTCCATCTAATTAAAGGGCCTTCATAAGCATCCAGTATTCCTCTGGTGGTGCTGCATGCTTGAGGAGTGAGTGTCCACATCATGTGTGTGGCACTGAGCTTTGTCTTCTGCTCCTAGTAAGAGCTGTTGACAAGGCAGAGGAATGCGTTCTATGGACTTCTATGTTGCCCTAGGAAAATCCGATACTAATGGGTCTTGGTCAGTAACTGAATCAAAAGCATTTTGTCAAGCCCCGAGAGTCTGATTGCTGCCCCAGGATGTTTATTACAAGTTCTCGATCATGTCTGCTCAGTAGATCCATCTCGGCTTTGACTTTGCAGCTCTCCTTTCTAGTGTACTTTCTCAGGGGAGACTTGAGGATTAATGAGAAGGAAGAACCGGCTGTTCCTTCTCACTCCACCCCCATCCCTCCTCTCTAGGATCATTATTCAGAATAAACACTGAGAAGAGAAACATGGGGGGAGAGGGTGGACTTGCAGTGTGGTGTTCAAAGGCAGATGGGACAGTGAGCACTGCTTCTCCAGCCCTCTTTGGTTTCTTCCTTTGCAGAAGTTTGAGAACTTTTACTTTGGTTCCCTGAAGCTCAATTCCATTCACATCTCCCAGAGGTTCACAGTGGACAGCTTTGGAAACTACGCCTCCTGCGGACAGGTTGACTTCTCCTGAAGTGGGTATGAGAAGCACTAGAAATAGAATGTCTTCCTAAGGTAGTGAAGACAGTCACTGGGGTGTGGGGTGGGAATTCAGAGGATGTGCTGGTTAGTTTTTTGTCAGCTTGATACAAGCTGTAGTTGTCTGGGAAGAGGGAACTTGAATGGCTGACATGCATCTATGAGACTGGCCTGTAACCAGGCATGTCTGTGGGGCATTTTCTTGATCAATGATTGATGTGGGAGGGCCCAGCCCACTGCAGCTGGTACCACCTCTGGGCAGGTGGTCCTAAGGTGTATAAGAAAGCATGGGGAGCAAGCCATGAGGAACAGGCCAGTAAGGCACGCCTTTCCTACCCAAGCTGGTTTTGGTCATGGTCTTTATCTTAGCAATAGGAGGCAAGATTAGTGCAGAGGCTGACTGTCCTGAGTGGTCCCCTCCGAATTCCCAGCTCCATGTTGCCTTTGATGGTCGTCCACAGTCCCACCGTATCTGCCAAGATGCTTGTGGGTGCAAGGGGAGCTTGAGCCAATCAACCTCTGGCTTGTTCTAGTCTGTGTGTTAGGAAGAAATATAAATAATGTAAAATATATCATCTTAGCCATTTTAAGTCTAAGGTTTGTTTATTAAATACGTGTGTAACATTGCCACTGTTACCGACACTCAACACTTCATTTTCTAAAACTTGAGACTGTATCTTCAAGTAGTTTCCTCCTTCTTCATTCCTCCAACCCCTGGCGACCATTGTCCATGATTGTGACAGCTGAGTACCTCATGGAAGTAAGAAGCACACAGTGTTTGTCCTAGCATAATGCCCTCAAAATTCACCATGTCATGTCATCTGACAGTCCTGCCTTCCTTTTTAAGGATGAAGAATATTCCATTGTATATATACCTCATTTTGTTTGCACATCTGTCCACAACTGACCCTTGGGTTGCTTCCACATCTTGGCTACTGTGAATAGAGCTGGTCCAGACCTGGGTTCACAGATGTCCCTTCCACACCCTGTGTTCATTTCCCTCACTAGCCAGAGATTTATCTTTAGCAGTTACAATTAGATTTGTGTTGCTTGATCTGTTCATTTTCATCCTAAAATTAGTCCCTAAAAGTATGTTTTGGGGGGCTGGAGATATATCTCAGTTGGTAGAGTGCTTGACTAGCTTTCACAAAACTGTGGGTTAGATACGAGCACCATGTATAACAGTATAGAATGGCCCATGCCTGTAGTCCCATCACTTGGGAGGAGAAGGAGGATCAGAAGTTCAAGGTCATCCTTGGCTACATAGAGAGTTCAAGGCCAGCCTGGGATATATAAGACCAAACCCTTCCCCCTCAAAACAAACAACAACAACAGCAAACCCCAAGGGCCTAGAGTCCTGGGCCAGTGGTTAAGAGCATTGGCTGTTCTTCTAGAGCACATGGGTTCAATTCCCAGCACCCACATGGAGCCTCACAACTGTCTGTAACTCCAGTTCTAGGGGATCCAGTGGCCTCTTTGTGCCTCCACAAACACCAGGCACTTAAATGGTGCCCAGACATATATGCAGGCAAAGCACCCATACACATAAAATAAAAATAAATAAATTTTAAAACAAACAAGCAGCAAAATTGTTAAGAGTCCTGTTCTGCCACATCTCCCATTGCCCTCCCACAGCCCCGATGGAGTTACGATAGCTCTTTTCTGTTTCCTTCTCAGGAGAAGAACATCAGAGAACCGTGACTGCAGCATCAGGAGCCTGGAAGTGTGGCAGAAGCAGGCACTCCGGCCTCCAGCTGACTGGGGAGGAGAGAGCTCCAGTCCACACCCTCCCTCCTGCCCCTCCCTTTCTGTCTGTCTTCATTCCTTATCCTCATGACCCCTCCTTTCTGTGAAGTCTGCTCCTAAGCCTGGTGTTAAGATCACTGTGTTGGGGAGATTGGCTTCTCTGTGCCATGGGACAGACCATTTTCAAATATATGAGATTCCCAAGTTACTGTGTTCTCTTTAGTATGATCTGTGCGCCATTATCACTACGTTGGGGCTACCAGCTTCAGTACTTACTCACTTAGCTGTCCTGTCCACCAAGGACTCCCAAAAGATTTCCACCTTGTGCTGGTGAGAGTCAGGCTTTATATCTCACCTCAGGGTGTTACACAGCACAGGACTCTATTTTGACTCCACATGCCTCCCCAGAGCATCTCTCCCAGCTGTTGGGTAGCCTTGTCCACCAGGGTACAGACACCATCTTTTGGGTGTCAGCGATTGATGACTTATGCTTGTAAGAATCTTTAAGAGTTTTGTTTTGGAAATTGTTGTGTGCTATGTCTGTTCTTAACAGAACGAGGACTTCTGTTATCAAATCTCAGAGTTCCTGCCCCTCCACATGTGAGCAGATGCTGTATTGTTAGCTGATTTCTCAAGCGCAGAGGGGATATGTGGTGATGGCAGTGTGATGCCTAATGGAATGTATTGTAGATTTCTGTGGTTTGAAGCATTTGTATATTGGTAGATAAATATCAATAGAATTTTTTTAAAATTATCTTTTGTTTTTTGAGATAGTGTCTCTATGTAGCTCTGACTGGCTGGCCTGGAACTTGGTATATAGACTAAGCTGGCCTTAAACTCACAGAAATCCTTTTGCCTCTTCCTCCCAAGAGCTGGGATTAAAGGTGTGCCCACTATGCCTAGTCAAATTTGAGAAATAATTTTTTTACAAACAGTAATAATAGCCAGTATTAACGGAACACACCCACTTGTCATGTATTTGCACATTGACTCAGCCTTCTCAGCAATCCGCTGGACTTGGTATTATTATTATTATTATTATTATTATTATTATTATTATTATTATCATCCCTATTTTTAAATTGAGGATTAACAAGATAAAGAAATCTAGAGCTAGAGAGATGGTTCAGTGGTTAAGAGTGCTTGCTGCTCTTCCAGAGGACCTGAGTTTGGTTTCTAGCATACCCATTGGGTAGCTCCCAACTGCCTGTAACTCCAGCTCCAGGAGATACAGTGCCCTCTTCTGGCTTCTGTGAGCAACTGCACACATGTCACACACACACACACACACACACACACACACACACACACACACTTAAAAAATACATAAATCTTTTTTAAAAGGTTTAAAATTTTGGCTGCAACCTTTGGTCTCAAAGTATAGTTTTTGGACTACCAGGAATCCCCAAAAATCTAGGAGGGGTTTGTGAGGTCCACACTAGTTTTATAAAAGTAACAAGGTTTTTTTTTTTTTTTTTTTTTTTTTGGCCATTTTATTCTCCCAGAGGTCATTGATCAATGATGTCATTCTGGTAGTTAAATGCAGTGTGTACGTGTGTGTTTTGTGTCTTCTCGGGTAATAAAAGTCATTATGGGGCCTGGAGAGATGGCTCAGTGATTAAGAGCACTGACTGCTCTTCCAGAGGTCGAGTTCAATTCCCATCAACTACATGGTGACTCACAGTCATCTATAATAGAATCGGATGCCCTCTTCTGGCATGCAGGTATATATGCACAGCCCTTATACATAAAATATAAATTAAAAAAAAAAGTCAGTGTGTGTTTTTAGAGGTTAACCAACCCATTTTGTCTTCCGTACTTCTGGGCTCTTACTAGTGATTCTCTCTTCCACCTGTTACTAGGAATTGTGTCCTGCCCAGACCTCAGTACCTCCATGTTACTGTTTTTGGAGACAGGGCCTTTAAAGAGGCAGCTAAATGAGAATGAGGCCATTAGGGTGGACCCAAGTCCCACTGGCCTGGAGTCCTTAAGAGGAAAGTGGGACTCGCTCATGAAGACACAGACTAGCACTCACAGAGGAAGGGCCTGTGAAGACCCCATGAGAAGGTGGTCATCTACAAGCCAAGAACAGAGCCTCTGAGAGACCCAACCCCAATACTTTGATCTTGAACTTCTGGCCTCAGGAACTGTGAAAATAAACTGGCTAACGAGGCCTTTGGTCTGTGGCACTTTGTTATGGCAGCCCTCACAGACAGCTGCTGGGGCACAGGCTCACAGACTACCTGCCCTCCTTTGAACCAGACATTAAAGGGATTTGTAAAAATAGAAAACAATACCACTTTCCCCCCTCTGAATTGGGAGGGGTTTATGTTTCTCATATAATACAATATTGTTCTGTTAATATGAAAGGGGAACCTTTTTTTTTAAAAAAAAGAGTAGATTGTTAAATTCTTCGTTTTGTTTTCACGTATACTAAGTGGCAATGCGTGTCTGGTTCACACAAACAGAAGTTTTTGCGGGTTCTCAGTAATACTTTGATGTGAAAGGGAGACCAGGAGGTTGGAAATGGCTGTGCTGCTGTGCTGCCTTCCATATGGGGTCATGTGGATGAGAATGCTGGAGTTTGGAAGCGCCTCACCCAAGGTCACGTGTTTAAGAGCTTAGTCACTAACTGGTGCATTATTGGGAGGGAGTGGAACATTGGGAAGTGGGTCCTTGTGGAAGGAAGTTGGGCCGTGTGGGGGAAGTGTCCTTAAAGAAGATATTGGGACCCTAGCCTCTGCTTTCTCTTTGCTTTCCTGCCACTATGAGATGAGTAGGCTCCCACTGTCCCTCTTGCCACAATGCTGACACTAAACCAAAGCAGCATGGACCCTCCAAAAGCATTGGACACAGTAAACATCTTCAAAGTTCTCAGGTGTTTTGTCACAAAACTAAATGACACAAGGATCATTTGGGGACTGTTTTTGTAGCACTGGGAATCACGTTACATATGAGTTCTACCACTGGCCTGTATCCCCAGCCTATAAACCATAAACCAGATGAGCTCTTCCCATCCAGTAAGAGGTCATATTACTTTCAACAGGTAGAGATCTACATCATTGTTTATGTCTGTATAGTAGGTTTTTTGTAGATACTTGTTGGGTTTGAGGTGGACTCTTGCTGTGCTACCCAGGCAGGTCTTAAATTCCCTGTGCTGAAGTGACCCTCCTGTTTCTGCCTACCAAATTCTGGAACTATAGATACAGACCACTGGGACCAGCTGTTGATACAGTTTTAAGTGTAACAAGTTGATTATTGATTAATAGTTGTTTATTCAGGTTCTCTAGAGGAACAGAACTTATAGACTGTATATCTGTGTATATATATATATATATATATATATATATACATATATGTGTATATATATGTATACACACACATATGGACATTTATTAGAATGGCTTATAGACTGTGGTCCAGCTAATCCAACAATGTCTGTCTACCAATGGAAAGTCCAAGAATCCAGTAGTTCAGTCCACGAGACTAGATGTCTCAGCTGGTCTTCAGTATACACCAGAATCCCAAAGAAGTAGTCTCTGATGCCATTGAAGAAGTGAACTTGTTAGTGAGAGAGAGAGAGAGAGAGAGAGAGAGAGAGAGAGAGAGAGAGAGAGAGAAAGCAGGCAAAGAGCAAGAGCTGCCTTCTTCCATGTCCATCTAAGCTGCCAGTAGAAGGTGTGGCCCAGATTAAAGGTGGGTCTACCCACCTCAAAAGATGGGGATTAATAGTGGGTCTTCCCACTTCAAATGATTTAATTAAGAAAAAAAAAATCCCTCACAGGTGTACCCAGCTGCTTGGGTTTTAGTTAATCCCAGAAATAGTCAAGTTGACAACCAAGAATAGTCATCACAAACAGGTATGGATTGGTTTCTAACTGTGGTTGTTACGAAAAAATTTGAAGTGAGTATCTTTGTGCAATTATCTTCTTGAACTTATAGCATCTAGAAATGAGAATGATTCTTTTAGGCACGGATTTGACATTTTTATTAGAAAATTAAGGTTCTCCATTTTGTATTGCTAAATATTAAATGCAACAGAGAAATGTAAAAGACACACACAGTTTAACAGATATGTTTAGCAGCATCTCATATTTGGGGCCTGTGCTTTGAAAAGGCTGACCTACCAATAATTCTCTTTTTCTTCTTTATAAACAAGGTTATTAGTTATTTTGCTCAACTCTCAGATCTGCTATCTAAAAATTTGGGCTCTTCCTCCTAAATAGCTTTGCCTTCGGCTTGAGTTAAGTGTCTCGGGCTGTGGTGCTGCAGGCAGCTGTGACTTCCTGAAGGGCATCAGGATAGCTTCTATACTCTTGTTAAGCCGCTGTGGTAACTAGACCATTACAGCCCTTTGTGCATCTAAGTTGTCTGCTAAGTGCTTGGGAGGCATGTCGATAACTTTACTAAAGACTAGGATGGAGGGGCGTGTGGCTTGGTCCATAGAATGCTCAGCTAAGCATGAATACAAGCCCTGGGTTCGATCCCTAGTACCACATGAGCCAGGAGGCAGCTGGAAGATGGGGACAGGAGTATCAGAAGTTGAAAGGTCACCCCCAAGCTACATATCAAGTTGGAAGCCGGCCCGGGCTACAGGAGACCATGTCTGAAATAAAAAGACCAGGATTAAGAAGATGGGTGAAAGATGGCAAGATCTGGTAAATCTTCAGAACAGTGGATGATCATAACCTCTTTCCATCTGAGGGACCGACTGTTTTGTCTTTTAAAAGCCTGGGTTAATTTCGCTCCAGTTTCACAGCCATTGTAGGGTATGTGTAGCATTAACATTAATTCTGGATAATCGAAAATGGGATCTTCAGTTCCCTCCAGTCCATAGGACAAGCTGAGCTCTCCACCGTGAAGTACCACTGTACCACCTGGGAGGGCTCCGCATCCATTGTGGGATGCAGACTTCAGTATCTGGAGCTTGCAGCAACACCACAGGAAATCCAAGAAACACAAAGGGGAACTATTGTTTTGTGTTTTCCCCAGCCCATGCCACCGAGGCATGCAACACTCAGGCCAGCCAGGCCTGGTGTGACCGTAAACCTCATAACCTGTGTGTTTTTTCCTACCGATTAAGATCGTGTTCTTCCATTGTCTTCAATTTCTTATTTTAACCTTGCAGCAGCCAAGTCTTTTTATAAAAAAAAAAAACCACACTCTAGGGCTTAGGGCCTGAAAGTTCAATATGTCTTCCCCTGTCATACTCTCCAATTTATTTGTAATGTAAATCCCATTTCTTCTCTGATCATGGGTCTGTGCCCAGCTGCCAGCCTTCCCAGCTGGTAAGTCAACACATGTCTATAGGCAATGACTAGGGTCACAGTTTTAACAAAAGCCTAAACAAACCTCCAGCAAAACCAGCCTCCTCTCCCACCTTGTCGCCTTCCCCAGGGGCTTATCAAACTCAACTTGAAACTGAACCATAAGCAAATGGGCCTGTCTGGATTTGCAGAATCAAGGCAGATGAGATGGCTAGACAGCCCTCCTTTCCGGTTGCCCTAGGAAAAGCTCACAAAATGGTGCCAGGTCCTAAACAGCTGCCTGGGGAGGAGGACATCTGCCCTTGTTTTACCAGCCATTCAGTGCTCAGGCCATGCGTTGAAAAGAGCGGTGGGTCTGGGGAACCATAGTTCAGAGGCAGCCAGTTGTTAGACCGCCTTTGTCTCAAGGAAGCCACCCATTACCGGAGCGCCGTAATCGCAGGGAGCCAGCTGTCAGAGCTGTGGCACAGGCCACTCGGGGGTGGGGGGTGAGGGGTGGGAGGCAAGCGGGGGGGGGGGGGGGGAGAAGAAATTGTCTGTGGCCAGATTCCCTTTTAGACACCTGAGCCTAACTGGCTTGGTAACCCGAGAGTTTTCGTCCTCTTCCCGGCCCTATGAAAGACCCCGGGGGCCCTTCTTGGCTGTCCATCCTTGGATAGACAGCAGGGACATCTCAGGGTTCTGCTTCCTTGCTTTGCAACTCCCTGGGAGCTGGGCTGGGTTGCGCAGCCCTGCGCTGCAGCTTGGCTGCTCTGATCCAGCGCTCTGCTTTGAAATCTACCCCCTCCTTTTTTTTTTTTTTTTTTTTTTTAAACCAGGTATGATGATGTCAAACGTGATGCTGATGCTACAGTTACAGACACAGCCCCCGCTGGCGCAGCCTCTCTGATTCTCTCTCTCTCTCTCTCTCGCTCCCCGCGTCCAGCGCTGGGCTTTTTCAGACAAGTGCATCTGCTAACCAGGTCACATTTCAGCCACGACCCACCCTCCGTCAGTCACTGGAGTCGGACCGCAGGAGGAGGGCTGAGGAGGACCGCAGCGCCTCGCCAGCGGCGCGGTGGAGGGAAGGACATCAAATCCTGCAGAAGTCGAGACCCCCCCCCACCCAGATCCAAGCCCAGACCACGATGACCGCTCCGGGCTACGGGCGGCTGGTGCTGCCGCTGCTGTTCCTCGCAGTGGTCGCCCTGGCTGAAGGTGACGCCAAGGGGCTCAAGGAGGGCGAGACCCCCGGCAATTTCATGGAGGACGAGCAATGGCTGGCGTCCATCTCGCAGTACAGCGGCAAGATTAAGCACTGGAACCGCTTCCGAGACGTGAGCGGAGGGGCGCGGAGGGCTGGGCCGGGCGCGGGTTCCGGGAGGGAAGCTGGGAGCAGAGACCCCGAGCGCGCTGGGAGCCGCCACCGCGTGTCGGAGCCAGAGCCTCTCCGGCCTGCCGGGCTAACTGCTCCAAGAGTAAACAGCACCGAGAGTCCTAACCCCGCGCCCCTCCCGTGTTCCCGTGGCCATCGGCATTGGGACCTTCAGTCCCGTAGCCTCCCGGAGAGTCCCAGGCGAGGACATGCTCGGAGGGCGCACGCTCGCGACAGGGTCTGCCCGGTGACTTGACGTGGAACGGGGGTGCGGGATGTGGGGACCCGGGCCCGGGCTGCTGCTGGGCCCCGCCTGTCCCCTCTTTGCCATCGGTCCCTGGGCCAGGCCCCTGCCGGGTGGATGCTGCAGGCTGCACACACGGGCCTTGGCAGAGGCAGCAGGTCTGGGTGGGGCTGGCAGGGAAGGTAGCGGCCGCACGGGTGTCCTCCGTCCCCACCTTGGGCTTCGGAGGAAGGGGACCAAGGCGCAAGGACTGAGCGGTGGTCAAGGCTTTGAGTTTGGAGAAGGGTTCCCCCAACCCTCATAAGAGATGGTGGAAGGCGTGTCCATAATGGGGGGAGGGCGGCACAGTGAAAATGCCCAAGGCCCCCCTCAGGGTGGCCGCCAGAGCCAGGCTAGGGTCCTTGTGCGCAACAACCCAGGCTTGGGTTTCCTGGACCACGCTCGGCGAGGGAGCAAGGCTAGAAACCCAGGGGACCCATCCTTAGTCCGGAGGGCGTGAGAAGCAGAAGCAAGAGCCCCAGGCGCTGGGTTAGGGGGGACCTGGCGGACGCCCGCCGCAACTGGACTTAACCTTGGGCCGAGCGTTGCGGGTGGGGGTGGGGGTGGGGAGGAGGCTGCGGACCGGCCGGCGCCGCCGCCGCAGCTCTGTTTACCCGCACCTGTAGATCAGGGAGGGAATAGGAGGCGCGTTCCCTCCCGCAGGGCGGCCCCGGCCGCGCCTCGCAGATGGTGGCGTGGGCAGGGGTGAGGAAGGGAGGGCGTGGCTGCTCCCTGGGCACCTCGAGAGGCGATGGGGGTGAGGGGGGATGGGCTCGGAGACGTAGAGCGAGCGCCCCAGGATGTGGCGCTAGCTGACTCCCGGACCTCCAAAAGCCGCTTCTACTTTGGGCTCTTATTCCTCATTTCCCAGATTCTCTCATCCTACCCACCTAGTACAAGGCAAGCCACACCATGGCTGTCCTCACTTCTTAAACTTCCATCATCCACAAGTTCTTTAGATGTTTTTTTTTCCCCATTCAACAGTTTCTGTTTCAGAATAAAGAGCCTGTCTTAATATTGTAAAGTGCACTGCTGATACAGCATGCTGCGGGTTGTTAGTGAGAAAACAGATGCGCAGTGACCCAGAAGGCTGAGGGAGCCCGTGAACACACTCTGTCAGAGCATGTAGAACTGGTATTTACAGTTTTTCTTCTGGGAACCGGCCTGGGGTATCTGTCTAGACATTTTTTTTTTTTTTTAACACAGATAGGGCACTATGAGAAGAGGCAGAGATTCGGATGTTTTTTTTGTTTTCAAAGTCAAACTGACATGATTTCATTTGGAGAAGGGACTGAAGGAGCAACCAACCGCATCCAGGCTGTGCGGGGCATCCCCGGGGACCACATAGTGGGCCTTGATCTCCGTCTTTGCCCCACCAGCCTAGAGAGCCTGCGGCCCAGCGAGGCCTTCCTCAGGCACCTGCAGGACCAGCTCAGATTAGCGCAGGCCCCCTGTCAGTCTGCAGTCCAGCAATGAGGGGGCAGCAGCAAGCTGGTCCTTCCGGAAGGAATCTATGTGTCACTGGTGCAGGTCTCCCTCTGACTCTGGCTGTTTGATCTGCCTGGGACTGGTGAAGGTCAGAGGGAAAAAAGAACCGCTTAATCAGAACAGCGAGGGTTTAAAAATAAACAGGTTCCTTTCTCTTCTCTCCGTCCACCTGCTTCCAGCAGCCAACACAGTGGGTGCCAATAAATGCTTGACTGGCTTGACCCCCAGCTCAGGGCTGCCCACCTGTCTCCCTGTATGGTGCCACCACCACCACCAGCACCACCCCCATCAGAAGGAAGGCATTACAATCGCAGGACCAGCCCCTGCAGGAGGGTTCATAGAGCCTGGTTTGGTGGCGGAGAGGTGGTATTTGTGCTTTGAAAAAAACGCGGATTTTTCTCTAAAGCCCCGTTTTGGGGAGCCCTGGCTGCAGGAGGATGGGGTCAGAGAGAGAAATAGGACAAAGAGGATGAGACGGGAGGGTGTGGCCTTGTGGGAATCTGTTGGCAGCTTCTACTGAAAGGCAAAAAGGAGGCTGCTAGCTCAGAGCCACTGCCTTGCATAACTGTGGCCATGCCCACGGTGTGAATGGCGCCTCCTGGAGTTGTGTGCTGCACAGGCTGTACTTAGGGACTCGGCCAGTGCTGCACACACTTGCCATCCCGCCCGAAGAGCTGGGGGCCTCCGGTCAGGCACTGTAGCCAAGATCTTTACATCCGTCTCCATCGGGTCAGCTCTTCTGGAAACTATGAGAACATCAGCTCTTCCTGAGAGAAAAAGGAATTTTGGGGGGAGTCCCTAAGGGACTGCCAGGTTGAGCTTGACCCTGGTTCCTAAGTCATCCCAGATGGCACAGGGCCACCGGTCTGGCTAGGTGAGAGAGGCAAACAAGAGGGTGGACTGCACCCGTAACATGGACGAGGGCCTGTCTCGTTGAACAGTTGACAGATGAGTGGGGAAGATGGAGGAGATAATGTCAGAGGGGCCCGAGGAGGGAGAGGCTCTGGGGTGTTGCTTGGATATGGAATTGGCTGGGTGAGGAGGGCCTTCCGATTACTGTTCTCTGGGTGAGCACTAGGATTATCAGAGAGACAGGCTTTATCAGCGGAGTAATCCTCCCCTCCAGTGGGCACAGGGCTCGCTCATCCTGGGCCTGTAGGTCTTTTCTAATGCCTGCTACTCTTCTCCGAGGGAGGACTTGTTTCATGATGGAGTAGGTCGCTAGTGGGCTAAGCCTGGCTCCACGGCTCAAAGGTTCTCTGCCCAGTGCAGTCTTTTTTATGAGTCCTGCTCTTCAGTGCTCCCATGTCCAAATTCACTGCCTGCAGAGCTCAGTCAGACTTGTCAATGGGTCTTGGAACACAGCATGCAAGGCCTCGTGGATACAGGCACTTGAGAAGAGAAGGTCATTACGCTGCGTCTCCCCGGCTGGCTCCAAAGAGCTTGGCTGGGAAGGACTGACTGTTCCCTTTCCTCTTGGCTCTTCTCTGGTTTTGCACTCCACTTCCATTAAAATTTAATTATATTTGTGAGTGTTGAACATAGTGCTTGGCACCCAGAGGCATGCTCTTCATCCACGTTGAGTTGGCGATGGCAGTGTGAGCCTTCCCAATATGCGTTGTCTCTTGTGCCTCTCCACAGCCTGGGAGACAATGGTCCCTTGGTCGTCTATCCTTGTATGGTCAAAGAAACGGAGACATGGAGTGACTTATTTGGGGGGATCCACAGCTAGGAAATGGCAGGGCTGAGATTTTGCTGCCTTTTTCCTTTGAGACAGGCTCAGTATCCCAAGTCGGGGATTACAAGCATGTACCACTGTGCCCAGTTTCTTCAGTGCTGGGAACTGAACTCAGGGCTTTGTGCACACCAGGCAAGCACTGTACCAACTGAGCTGCGCCCCCAGTTCCAGAAGTTGGATTTGAATCCGTCGTGTAAATTCAGCTTTGTTTTCAGGCTATCTGACATTCCTCGTTTTTACTGAATGGGGGAGGAAGGGTCAACTGTAATGAATCAAGTGTCCCCTGGTTAGTGTCCTTATCAGCTTCTAAGGCTGTCCCAGGAAGGAGCAGCATCTCCTTAGAAGGATGACAAAGACCCAGTGTCATCAACAGCCTGCTACCAGCCTATTCTCCAACCTGGCCTGGAGGGACAGGGAGTATAGAGTTCTAGGACAGCTTGCCCTGGGTTCAGGTTCTTCCCACAGGATGCCAAGCACATCATACCAGCCCTCTGAGCCTCGACTTCAGATTGGGAGGCTGGCATGAGTGTGCACTCAGGTAGGAGGGCATCCCCTGCAGGCCACCCTTGCCACACAGAAAGCATCAGATGGAATATTGTCTTTGGACCTGGCCCACAACCTGCCTCATTCTTCATGTCAGGGCTGGTACAGTGGCTTGATTAGTTCCCTCATCTGCTGTGGATCTGGGTCTACGCATCTGGGGCTTCGTGGTGATCCCAGAGGCTGCAGAGCAGGGGGTCAGGGTTTTCATCTGCTGGCTGTGTGCTAGTCTCATATCTTTGTGGACGCCAATAGGCCAGAAGCTGCAGAAGGGTCCCCAGATGACTGTCCCCTCCTGCTCCCAACCTCTAGGCCAGTGTGAGTGTAGGGACAATCTGTGCCTGTGTTGTGAGGAGGTGTGGGTTTGTGAGAACACAAAAGTGGGTCAGAAGGGATTCTATAATTTGGGTTGGGAGCAGGCCAGGTCCTTCACTGGCTTCCTCCTCCACCCTGATTTCTGACTCTTCTCCTATTAGAGGGTTGGCCTCTCCAGAACAGGGCGGCATGGTGATGGATCTGAGGGGCCAGCAGGACGCTGGGCCTGGGGAGAGGGGGACAGAAGAGGCTTGCTGCTGCCTGATGCTCCTCTTGACTCCCGGCCGTTCTCAGGGGGACAGACAGCCCGTGCCACCTCATTCTCCATGAGGTCAGAGTTATCTGGAGAATGGGAGAGCTCTGTCCTGCCTCATGTCCCAAGGGCCCAGGCAGAGTGCTCTGTTTCTTTTCCTTCTGGGAAGACAGATTAGCTGTGTGATCCCAAGGAACCTATTTTACCTTTCTGAACCTTGACCTTCTCGTTGGTTTAACACAGAGACTAATGGAAATGATCCACTGAACTCTGAGTATTCTGTGATCCCTGGGAAGTGGCCCAGGAGCATACCTGTCCCCTGCCCCTGACTGGATGGAGAGTCTC